TGAATTATTATCATTTACAACTATGTACTTTGCCAGAAAAATGTCACCTAAATTTTTCATTTCCAAAATTTAGTATGGATAATATACATGAGACGGATCCACGAAATCAAGCGATGCGAGCAGCTCTGCATAATCATATTGTAAATAAGTGCCCTATTTGTCGATCTAAAACAAAATCTATCTCGTATTTGAATAAATAAGGGGCCGTTCATAAATTATGTAACGCTGCGTTACATAATTACATAATTTTTGCGTTACTAACGCAAAAATCCCAATTTTCTACACCTAGCCTCCCTCCCTCCGAACACTTTAACATGGGTCCCATAGTCACGACATCATTGGAGCCTTAGACCCCCCTCCCAATTTGAGAATTTATGAACGGTCCCTAAATCAAAACCTGATTCATTGACAACTTTTTAATATGTAGATTCTTCAAAAAATTCTACAAAATGGATCCGTTTCCGGAAAAACGGCCCGACTCGTATCCCACTTCTGGAATAAAATCACCCTTTCCCTTCCCCACCCAAAGCTGGCCCTTCGCCTCGACACGCCCAACAATTGCTGCAATGCGACCCCTTTTCAAATATTTTGTAGTAAAATGGAACCCAAACTTGCCCGAAGTATAGGTGAACATGTCACTTCCGGTGAATGTGACCACCCCATCATGCAATTAATTACTTCCATTGAATCGCAACTACTCCACGTTTCCGGTCAGTTCGGTTCCTTCATTGAAAACTTATCGCTAACCTTTGACACTCACTCACCACTTCATCCCAACGTTGTACGAAATACTGCAAAATTTCTGCCCAAATTTGACAAAAATCGAGATTGAGTTCCGATTAGGGGTAGAAAATTACGACGCACAATGGGACGTTCCTGCAGATTGTACCCTGTATAAATTGATCTCAATCAAAATAACTGATGCCACTGTGCACCCCGACTTCTTCGCGATGACACAATGGCTCCTTAATTCTGCCCCAAACTTGACCAATTTCTGCCTCCAGAGCAGCAACCAGCTTCCAGATTTAGGTCGGAACGGGACCCTTAAACGGTTTGATTTGACCATGAATTGTGAGAAGCTATAAGATCTCTATCTGAATTCTGAGCATATTCGTAAACTTAACAAGATTTTGGATGAAGTAAAGGATCACATCGAATTTTTGTATCTGGGGGTTGAATCCCCTGATAATAAATTTCCCACCAATAGTAAAAATTGCCTGGTTGATTTACGCATCCCAAAAATGAAGAAGCTTAAAGACTTTGGAAATTTCATGATTGAATTGTTTAACTGGGCAGATAAACTAAGAGACATTTGCACAGCGAGGATCCAAACTTTACAAACTTTACGGATTTCCACATGCACACGAAAGGCGGGTTTGAATCGTTTATTGGGAAGGGTTATTGAAGAGAAGGGGTTATTCAGCGGAGTGAAAAACCTCCACGTGCAGAATCTATATGACGATGAAATAGTTGCTGGATTAAAGACACCATTCCCAAATTTGGAGAGTTTATCAATTCATAAGTTCAGGTATGATGGATCTTCACTTTACGAAGTGGAGATCTAGAAGCGTGTGCTTTACTTGGATTAAAATTCTTGGAGATGGAGCTGACCACAGAGTTTCATGATACCGATTTCGCCCACTTTATTAAAGGATTTTTGAGTTGCGGGGAATTGTTTTCAGGTATAATTTTTTTAGTATGAAAGTCGCGATTTCTGCCCTATTTTCATAATTTATGTGCGTGATCATATTACTCGGGTGGTGTTTTTATGTAGTTGTTTTTTTTTAATACGACATTAGGTCTCAAGACTGTGAAAATACGGTTTATCTTTACGAGGAGATATCACAAATCGTATGACTTGAACTTTGTCCAAGATTGGATTCCGAAGATGAAGCAGTGGCTTCTGCAAATGAAGGAAGTGGACTATGTTCATATTTCGGGAATTAAAGTGAGGCTTTGTAAAGTGTTTTTGTAACATTTTAAAATTTGAATGTTTGTTAACCTTTTACATAAATTGATATTTTGAATATTTATAGTTTACCAGAGAAACGTGGGAATGGATGAAAATCTTCATTCAAGAGAACAAGATTCCAATCGTGATAAAAACCAGGCCAAATGTAACACAAAATCATTTCCCATATTTCGCAGGAGAAGATGAGACAGAGTGAGAAAAGTAGTTGGCGGTGGGTATCCACCACCATCGTGCGTTAGGATCGTATGCGCGATCCATTTTCTCACTCTGTTTCTCTCTCTCTGTACTCATTAGTGGCTAGAGTTTGTTATGGCTCTTGCTGTATAAGCCCCTCCCTCAGAAACTTTGACCCCAAAAAAGTCATGGTAGCGGTCATTTCGCAGCGGACAACAAAAGCGGAAAATGTGGCACTTCTGACGAAGAAAAATCTGGCATCAGGTTGTCAGCCGCAAAATGACCGCTAAGGTCACTTTTTTAACGATTTATATGTAGGTCGAAAAACCGCCAATTTTCGAATTCTGAAAGTCTTGATGCATCAAAATGTTCATACTCATGAGGGAAGTCAAATGTCAAATGCAAGTTGGTATCTACTTCTTTCTGTACCGAGTGTACATTGACCTTCTCATTTTTCTCAATTTTCTTCCCCAATTTTTGAAGGGGGTGTGGTTGAATATAATTCAAAAAAGCTATGCTATATTAATCCCCCCCACCCAAAACTGAATTTGTAATTTTTTATGTGCAATTTGGTGAAATCGATGCGAAAAAGACTTGCACTTTTGGCTCATTTTGTACCTCGTGTTCAAGGAAAAGTGAAGCAATTTGCAGCAAGAAATCTCATAAATCAATAATACTTAATTGGGTGGTATGTAAATATCTTCCTAATTTTCAGCCGGCTTATGTAAAAACAATATTTCCGCACATTGTGCATGTAAATAATTAGTACTTACATAATATCTTATTTTGCTCTGCGAACTACATAAATTCCATTCCAGTTTCATTAATATGTAATTATTGCAAATTAGTACCTTAAATAAATTTACATTTTAGAATTTACAGATTTTGAAGTAAACTTCACAAGGTTAAAATAAACTTTGACTAAATTCACGAAGATGCACTTCATATCCTCGCAGTTGTGCAATTTGAAAATTGTTATAAGGTCATACAAAAGTCATACAAATTCGTGCACCTTTTGGTACGAAGCGTTTCGAAAGCTTAACCAGTTTATTGGGTTACAAACACTTACTTAAATTCAAGCAATTCACGCAGGGCTTGGTAACATAGTAAAACCCGTAAATTCTGCAAACTTATACACGTATTGAGACAACAGCCATTGTTAACTTGTGAAATCCGTAAATTTTGGAAACTAATTTTACAAACTTTTTTACAAAATAAAGACACACTTGATCTGACTAAATTTACAAAAGTTTATGTATGAGCTATATAATTTGCATTAGAAATTTCCATAAGTTTATACCCTTATTACTGATTCTGTGCCCCTGCAGGAATTGCTTCTTGCCTCAGTGTATTAGTTATACGTGGGTGTTTTATTATTAATTTTCAAAATGTATGTTCCACACTGTTTCTGACCAAACTTTTGATGAAATAACAAACTTCAAATACTTTTAGAATGCTGTGATTTTTTTCAGTTCTGTAAGTTAACATTAACACTAGCAATAACTCATTAAAATCTACCTCGAAAATATGCCAAAATTTACGACTTGATTTCATTATCATCCGAAAACCGTTTTCCCCTGATGTTTTTCTTTAAGTTTCGAAACGAATAATAATCACTAAGGGACAAGTCTGGACTGCACGGGGCGTGGTTTGTGCAGGTAAAGCGATTTTCGTCTGCACTAACACTCGCAAAAAGCCAGGTATGAGGTGGCGCGTTGTCGTCTAAAAAAAGGCCAACTCTTTATTTTGACCCCACGTTTCTTTTCAACCGGAGGACGCAGCTCCTTCGGGGTTCCTGCATACACGGCCCCATTTATTGTAGTATTTACAGCAATAAATTTTATAAGGAGGGGACCTTTGGTATCCTTGAAAGTGGTCATCATCATTTTTTTGTCAGATTTTTGCACTTTTCAATTAACGGGCGGTGGCAACCCCTCGTGCTTCCATTGAGGGAATTATTATTTGGTCACCGGGTCATAATAGTAAACCCAAGTACCATATGCAACTAATAAAATATTGAGCAGGTTCAAGTCTTCATTTAATAGGTTTAATAGGTCATTGCAAAAGTCAACTCGATCCTGTTTTTGAGATGCTGAAAGCAATTTTGGTACCCAACGGGCGGAAACCATTTTCATACCTAAGTCTTCAGTTAACATGGAACAAATTGCTGGTTTTGAAACACCCATCTCATCTGCTAAATAGGACAGCTTCAATCGCGGATCTCTCATTATTTGTTCCTCTAGTTTCCGGAGCCTTTCTGTGGAAGAAACGGATTTTGAGCGTCCTGGCGACTTTTTGCCCGAGACCTCGTTTCGCCATCATTTAAAATTATTGACCCAATTGAATTTGTGTTTTGTGTTGGGCAGTCTTCATCGTAAATTTTAAGGATTCAACCATAAATCTGCGACACTTATTGCCCATCCAGCATTAAAAATTAAATCACACTACGATATTTAATTTGCAAATTTAGCATTTTTTCCGTCGAGGTAAAGTTTGCCGATTTATTGCTAGTGTTTATGTTAACCCACAGAGCTGAAAAAAATCACAGCCTCCTAAATGTATTTGAAGTTTGTTATTTCATCAAAATTTTGGTCAGAAACAGTGCGGAACATACCTTTTGAAAATTAATAATAAAACACCTACGTACATATAATTGTTTATATGTGTGATGCATTCATATTAATTTCTTTGCATGTCTCACATTCACAGAAGTACGTTCATTGTATGTAAATTACATATGTACATGAAAAGCTGCTCACAAACCAGATGCACGAATGTAGACAAAGTTAGGTACAGATCTGTGCCATCACCATCTGCATGAACCGTTACTGTTTTCCATTCACAAGCGAAACTTTTGTCAATGAATTATCTGTATTCTTGTTACTTTCTGCCTCTAATTTGTGTCCACTGTTTTACAAATTACAAATTAGAACTCCGTGTTATTTCTTGCCGCAGCAAATATTCAATTTTAACCCGAACATCTCCACGAATAGAAGTTTGTAGATACTTACATATTTTTAATTATTAAAAGTCATTACCTATTTCTTAAAGAACATTCACGATATTTCATATACATACATTTTTCTGATTTTTTTTTCATTTTCCAAATTTAGTATGGAAAACATTGACGAGGAACACCACGCGATGCGAGCAGCCCTACAAAATCCGATTGTAAATTTTGAAAATTTAAAATTCAACCAATGCATTTTTGCAAATTTCAACCTTTTCATCCTAAAGCAAAATCTGTTACGCATTATAAAAAATTTCAAATTTAACTGATTTACAGATTCTTGAAAAAATATTACAAAATGGATCCGTCCACGGAAAAACGGCCCGTCTGGTTTCTCACTTTTGGAATAAAATCATCTTACTGTCCATGCCTCACCCCAAGTTGACCCTTCGCCTCGACCCCTGGGGGAATCATGCCTGCAATCCCATCCCCTTTCAGCAATTTTGTCTCACCATGGAACCCCGACTGGCCAGAAGTATAACTCATCTTGACCTTACAGGTGAATGTGACGACCACTCAGCGGCTCAACACCTTTCCTCCGCGGAGTCAAAATTGCTCCAGATTTCCGGTCAGTTTGGTCACTTTATAGAAGACCTTTGGGTAGACTGCGACCATGCCGACTTTATCCCGACAACGTTGTACAAAATAGTGCAAAATTGCTTGCCAAATTTGAAAAGGCTTAGAGTCAACTTTGTCGAATCGCTCGAAAATGCTGATGAAGAATCTAATATCAATGTCGACTTTTACCCGTGTACTTTGCATAAATTGATATCCCTCAGAATCGAAGACGTCACCAACCACCCGGGTGCCCTTAAGATGACACAATGGCTCCTTAATTCTGCCCCAAACCTGACCTATTACTTTTCCGATGGCAACCAGCTTCCCGACTTTGGTCGGAACGGGTCCCTCAAACGGGTCGAATTGAATGTTTCATTAATCGAAGTATCGGATCTCCAAAGTGCAAATTTCCTTCGTAAACTTAACAAAATCTTGGATCAGGTGAAGGATACCGTGGAATTATTCTACTTGCGGGTTGGGCGGGAGCTTCCGTACCAGTTCGAGACTGGAATTGGTCCGAGGGATTTGCACATCCCGAGAATGAAAAAGCTTAAAGAATTTGAAAACTCTGCACTTAATTTGTTCAGCTGTGGGGATAAGTTGCAAAATATTGGCACAGCAAGGATGCCAAATTTGCAAAGTTTATGGCTTTCTGCATGTACCAGTGATACAACTTTGTGTGATTTATTACGAAATGTTATGAAGGAGAAGGATTTATTTAAGGAAGTAGAAAACCTACATGTCGAGAATCTTCACCCAGTCGAAGTAATTGCTGGATTAAAGACGCCATTCCCAAAGTTGGAAAATTTCTCAATTTACCATGATGATATGTATTCATGTCTATTTTCCAAAGTGCAATCTTATCTGGAAGCGTTTGCTGCGCTGGGATTAAAATACTTGGAGATTAAGGTGCTAGTATATGTTAATAAGGACAATTTCTCGCGCTTTATCCAAGGTTTTTCAAATTTCGGGAAATTGTTGTCGAGTACGGATAAAATTACATATTTTTATTTTCATTGTACTGTCGTGGTGTTCCTAATTGTTCTTTTTTTAAAATGACATTAGGTCTCAGAGGTTTTAAAATACGATTTAACGAGAAGCGAAATGACTTTTCCGAAGACTTGGATCTGATCGAAGATCGGATGGCGCAGATGAAGCAGTGGCTCTTGCAAATGAAGGGAGTGGACGATGTGTATATTTCGGGAATTCGAGTGAGTGTTTTTAAAGTGTTTTTATTTTTGGAAATTTTCGAATTTTCTGTCGAGAGCAACCTTGTATGTAAATAAATTGATATTTTGAACATTTACAGTTTACCAGAGAAACATGGGAATGGATGGAAATCTTCATTCAAGAGAATAAGATTCCAATCGTGTTCAAGGAAAAGTGAAGCATTTTCAAGGAATAAATTTGCATTATTTTCAGTCAGGTTAAAGACAATAATGTTTCCGCATATTGTGTATGTAAATAATTAACACTTGTTTTATTTTACTATGCGAACTACATATATAAATTCCATTCAAGTTTCATTTCATGAACAATTATTGCAAATTCCTTAACTAAATTTCTATATGTAAATATTTATAAAGAGTATATAAAGCCCAAAAATCATGGCAATTTTGTGTATTGCATCAAAAAATATCACGATTAATAACATTTTACACATACATATTTACATCAATTTCTGAGTCCATACAAAATAAATTCTTAAAAAATTGCATTAATTTCGACATAGATTTAAAAAAACATAACAAAAATTTTGTTACAAAAGTGTCTTTTTTTACACCAGCGTGTGCACCTCTGCGACGATGGATTCTCTCGAAAAGTGCAGACTCGCCTGACTCTTAGTTAATCGGGGCGGAATTGGGGGCGGGGGGCCGTGCGGTGGGGTGAGTTTTCGGCGACCAATCTGCTCCACGAGGTCGACACGTGACTTGCAAGTTATCTGCTCTTGACGCTCTTTTAGTTGTTCGATGATGCGTAAATCGATTCGTGATGCGGCGATGTCGTCCGCTTTAAGGTCGACTTTCTTCAACCCTTCGAAAGCTTCGTATTCTAATTCACGGACGAATTTGTGAACTAGAAGGGCAGGGATGACGCGTAGTAATTGGATCGCCAGTGTGATATAAGAACGACCCGATTTTCCCCGTGTGAGGACACAAATTGCGATAAATGTCGTGAAAAATAGAAAGACTTTGATGTAAAATCGGCCAAATCGGGCGACATCGAGGACTGGACTGTCCTGGAAATTTGAGGAAATAATTAATTTCGATATTGAGGAAAGAATGGATTTAGACTTTTAAATAAAAAATTTAACAGAAAAAGTTCACTTTGAACGATTAAGTAGACTTTGCCAATCTTATAGAAAACTTCATAAACTTCGACTATGTAAATTCATGAATATTTCATAATCTGTCCGATTTGCAATTTGAACATTTTTTTCAAGTGAAAAGTGATGCAAATTCTTGCAAATCTGGGTGGAATACTTTACGAAAGCTTAACCAGTTTATGGGGATCTGTCCTACAAATACTTGCATAAGTTTAAGGCAGGGTTGGTAACCTTGTACGTAAAATCCGCAAAAGTATACTTTTACAAAATTTTACTACCATTGCGTAGAAAAAAATAGGTCACAACTTTTTTAATTTAATCAAAGCAGGTGTTTCTTTTTCTTTCGTGACAGTTGGTGAAATTATTTTACAAAATTTACGGATTTTGCATGTACACCACCGACTGAGTTAATTGCAAATTGCCTCGTAATATAATTTTCCAAAATTTGAATAGTATTTGAAAACTTAATAATAGTCCTAAAATAATATTTGCATAATTACATACATACCTGTTGTATCGCATTAAGCAAAAATATTATGGCTGCCAACTCCACCAGATTTATTAACAGAGAGACGACCAATATTGCAAATCTTGTAACTGCATAGTCAAATAAATTTATTACATAAACTTATAAACAAAATTTTTATAATACAAAACCGAAAAATCTGACATACTCATTAACATGGCAGGTGCCAAATCGTCCCCGATTTTATTATCCCCCTCCAAAAGTAGGGTAGAAATCTGTACAGAAACTCCCATCCATAACGCCGTGTATAAAATAAATATAGCCAGCGTCAAAACCTGCACAAATATTTCAGAACTTTGTAAATAATTTAATTCCCCAACACTCTTAGAAATCCAGTATTAAAATACTACCAAGCGGTATTCATATCTGACTATACCAAAGCGGTATTGATAAGTGTACCGCGTAGTAATAGCTCGGTACTAAAGTATCATCCATATCGGTAGCAAATTTTGACGGACCGGTATAATTTTAGTACCAAGCGGTAGCAACTTTAATACCGAGAAATCAATACACTGCCAAATTTTTAAGATTGAAATTGAGAAAATAAGGTTAAAAAACTCACCAAATCTAAAACCATCCCCCACTTGGCACACTTGACGAAGGGTATTTTCTCAATCATTTTTTCTGCCAACATTTTAAAACTAAATATTTAAATAAGTTCCCTAATTATCATTCTCAGCCAATTGTACTGATAAATTAAATAATTGTGAATCTTCAACTGTCAGATTTGTCATGTGGGTCGTAAGTATTTCCTGGTATGTCCATATGTACATACATACATATGCAAATACATATGTCCATACGTATTTATTTAGAAGACGGGTTGCTTTGCTTGCTTAATATTAGGATACCATTATGCACAAGGTGGTCATTACCACGTAATAATGAAAGCTGGAGTCTGTGTACATATCCCTGCAATGGTTTTTTAGTTCTCGGAATGGAATCAGGATCTCATAGATAGAAACAGGTTCCGCAGTGGTGGTGTTACTGTAACGCGTAAATGGATGTATTTGAAATAGTCTATCCCTTCAAGGTTGCCATGGTAGCCGACCCTTGCTGAATCAGTATAGGCACTTATACATTATGCATGTCCCCTTTACTGCATACTTACATAAGTATCCACAATGCTTTCCCCACTTGTCCGATGTGAAACGAGGGGACCCATTTTTATGTACATATGTATGGTGTAGGTTGTAAATACGTACATATGCATGTATGCATATGTAAATATGCATGTATACAAGCTTGATTTTTTAAGAATGTATGTACGTAACTGATATTGGGTTCAGATTTGCATGCATAAATACATATGTACATGCATACATGCATATGTATGATAATGACCGATATAGAGTAAGGTAGAATAATGCCCAAATTGGGAAATATTTACACCCCCTAATTTTCCAATGTGAATAGAAACAGAAGAATTCAAAATGCAAGTTGGGTTCATGTTCTTCAGAAATCCGTGCTAATTTGGATCAAGATTAAGAATTATGTGAAAAAAAACGTCACAATGAACAAATTTTGATGAGTAAAGGTACTTATAATTTAAAAAATCTGATTCACTCAAAATGTTTGTCCTTACCACTTTTTCTGCATCAAATTAAAATATCATAATTAATTATGGTAATGGTATACCATTACCAGAACAGGTCAAGTTATTTCTGTCTTACAGGTATGTGCTTATTGGACAAAAACCAGTATTGTATAGGTCAGTACGTATTAAATACTTAATGAGCACATATTCTTTTAGAAACTTAGGAGACTATTCAGTTATAAAATAATTAAATAATCCGATTATTCAGGTCGATAGTTTCCAACGTCAACTACCACAAATTCCAAGTTTAGATATATTTTAATTTATTTATTTGCATAGGTGTGTACATATTTAGATATGTACATGCATTAGTAAGTATCCAGATACTTACTTGTGCATTCATCAGAAGATGGATATTTACACATTTATTTACTATCGAGTTTTTAATTTTATGGCGGTCGACTGTCAAAATTTGTGTGGGTGTGGTACCTAATTTTATACATGATCATACAGATTTTAAAATATTCCCACATATTTCTAGGTTTTCAGATAATATTTTTGCATATTTCCGCGATAACTGAAAAAATCTGTAAATACTTAGGATTTAAGCAATTAGGGACGATATTTTTTAATTGTTGTGCAAAAGGAAATTTAACTAAATACAAATATCATTAAGTTCAAGAAATCTAAATTTTGTACGTTTTTACAGACTTATTTATTTCGTAACGATTTTGGCATTTTTCACAAGTATTTATATATCCGCTCTATTTTTACATACATACGCATTCACTTAAGGCTTTAGAATGTAGTAATCCACTTAAATATTTTAATATATGTATCTGTTAAATTCAATAACACAAATAGATAATTCCATTTAAGAACGTATGCAGAAAAACCTTCTGGAACAATTTAAACATAAATTATTTTTTATAGAATTACGTCATACTATTTCGCGTATATCTACATATAAATCCTTTCGTGAAACACCACACGCCAGGGCCACTCAGAAATTTGCAAGTATCGGAGCTTTATATTTCAAAATGAAAATCTAAATTTCACGAAACTCTTGACGCTAATTTGCTTGCTTGTGCCTACACATTTTCTCAAATGACGACCCGTTTAACGAACCAAGCTTTGGATATTTTCTCCACCTCGTTTCGCCACCTAGGCCTTTGTCCTGTCGAGTGGAATGGAAAAACCAAGCAATTCGTGTACCACCCACTTTCACGCAAATTGCTTCGCTGGGGTGTTATGACATTTATCCTGGTTCCGCTTACTGGCCTGATTCCGAGTCTCGTCCTACTATCTGCGCACCTTTTCGGATCAGTGACTCTCTCCTTGCTGAAATTGCTAATCCTCGGAGCTACCCTGGTAATCGCCCTATTCACAATTATTGCAGAAATTGTACAACTGCTTTTTGTGGAATGTGCCTTGATCGGGTTAGCAAATTTGATGAGGCTGGAAAAACGGGTAAAATCGGGTAAGTCCCTTTAAATAATTGAAATTTTAGCAATTTTTTCCAAATTTCGCACATTAATTAACCTGTCTACCATAATTTATAGAACCTAGCAGCACTAATCTCCATCCCGTCAAACGATTCGATATACCTGTCATCGTTGCGATCATATTCGTCTCGCTGTTCTCAATTTACCCCTACTTTATCTCCCCGCTTGGGGCGTATCGAGACCTGGATCCGCTTTCCATACTTCTCAAAAATTTTGCACCTTCACTAAATTCTCAATTTCTCCAAGTCTTACGTTTCCTCGTTCTCCAAATTCTCAACATACCCCCAATCTCCATGGCCTGCAGAACCTTTTCCCTTGCCGTTTGCGGATTAACAATGTCCGTCCGCCTCGTGAACTACGTCATTTCTGAAATGGAAAATAATTCCGCTCGACTCGCGCTTAGTCCAACCCACGCATTTCAAACTTTCCAAACGTACGTGGAATTAGAAATCGTGCTATCTTTAGCGTACGACATTACTGCTAGAGCCTCCGCCTGGCTGATGACGGTTGGTTTAAGTTGCAGCGTCATGTTCAACTTTTTCACGATCGGATTACACCGCGCTATTCCGTTCCCGCTCTATCTCTACTTTCCCAGCGTGGCGGGAATGATCCCGTTCGTAATTGATGCTTTATTGCCTGTTGCGATCAACGTTTACGAAAATGGATGCAAAATAAAGTGCGGGTGGGAACGTTCGATAGCAAGTTTTTCGTGGTGTAACAAGAAATGGCTGCGCCGTCGGGTCCGGGCTGTCCGACCGGTTCGAATTTACGCGGGAATTCTAGGCTATAATTTCTTTTGGTTGAAGCGGGAAACGAAATCGACGTACTATTCGACCATTGTTGAAGTCACGATTGATGCATTGTTATCTATGCAATAGGGGAGTGCATGGATGTTGCAAAAGCTGAGCCAAATTCTGCGCATGAAACAGAACACCAAATAATATTGTTCACTGTATTCCAGTTCAGCACCGAAATAAAATCTCATGCACGATTCTAACCACGTGTCGAAAATATTAACTATAAGTTGCTTAAATAAATATGTAAATGTAAAAAACGAAGGCGTCGAAATTATTCTTAAATTAACAATATTAAAACATTAAATAAATTAAGCGTAATTAAACATTTATGTACCTAGAAAAGTTGATGCAGTGTGTTATCTGCATGCAAATCGTGTCATTCAGAATACAAATTGTCAAATATTGGTATCAAATTTTTACGGATAATTTTAATACCAAGCTGAAGTTTTTACCCGTAATACAGAGTTTCATATATATAAATATACACATATACATGTAGTTCGGTTATTTGTGCTACTCACATCATTTGCATATTTTAACGCATTCGCGAGAGGCATAAAGTTTATTCAACATGGAAAAAAGCCCGTATATCACCGAAAATGGGCATCTTGAGATTGTTAGGTATATGTATGCCTACGTAGATATGTATATGTAATTAGTTATGAATCTGTACATCACTCCATCTTTAACTCTCCACTAATAAATACTCTCCTCTGTCTCCTCTCACTGTGTACCACTTATTTATGTATAATCATATATACATAACATTGGTGGACCGTCGAGTACTTTCTTTCGCTCCTCCCACTCACAATGGATTTTAAAATTTTCAAAATTCTTCGCAAGACATATCACCTACCAAATTTGCTACGACTGCGACGACTAAGCAGCTTGACCACCGCCCCTTAGAGCTTGTCATTTTGCTTCCGATAGGGAAACTTCCCAAATCTCTCTTCTCAAAACCTTGCGTAAACTGTGTGATTTTCCTGTGAAACTTTTTTTGAATTTTCGTCATCTGGTCTGTAAATTGGATTATCCTCCCGGATGCTATCAGGTCTGTAAATTGGTTCTAAACCACCCTGCAAATCTTCCCCCATTCTTAAAATTTCCAAATCTCCAGTCCAACATTTACATTTCATAATTCGAGCAAATATGCAAAATTCAAAATTCCGTTATTTGTTTTAAACACGTCAAAAAAATATATGCAAAATTGTCCTTCAAAATTGTTAAAAAATCGTAAAAATATTGTAAAAAAAAATTCCGTTTAATTTCTGAAAAATTTTGATCAAAATTCGTTCAAAATTTATCAAAATTTCTGCAAAATATTTGCAAAAATGTCATTTTTATTCATTTCGTCTGGAAAATTGTCCCAATTCTTTATCAAATTTTGTTGCAAAAATGTAATCTGATTCACCTTGTCTCAAAATTCTGCTGAACTTTTATGCTCGCTCTGCGTTGTCACCACTTTCCCAGGCTGAGAATGAAATATAACGCCTTGAGATTAATGTTTGTAATGAGCAACGTCTACATATTATTTGCGTGTTCAAGTATGGAAATCCACATTGTACATAGTTCCCCTTTTTTAACGAGTCACGGTTATGGGTCACCCACACAAAACCCTGCGTCTTCGAGTTGTCCGGTTATGGGTTCTCCCCGACAAAACCCTCACAAGTCTGCGTATTTATGTATCTCCGATGTCCCGATGGACCACATACCACGACCACAAAAATGTATTTTTCTTTGTTTATCGTTTTGTCCCAATCTGCAAGTTTTATATGAGTCAACCACCACCACCACGCCTGAGATGACACAATTCTACCACCGATTGCGAGCCATACCATCTTCTCAAGTTCCAGCCCTGCAAATTTACTGCGTCATTCGATATGTGTATTAAATTGTTCAGTGTTATTCATGCAAAATCTTTGTTCATGTTTGTTTTCCGGAGTCATTTCATTTTTCATTTTTCCATGAATTTTTCATATGTAAACCATCAAAATTTCTAATTCAAATTGTGACTACTGAAATTTTTAGTTTGCAAACCTACACACTCTTTCAGACTATTTTTCAGGAGAAAAATTTTTTCGTGAGAGGGTAGTGTTAGGTATATGTATGCCTACGTAGATATGTATATGTAATTAGTTATGAATCTGTACATCACTCCATCTTTAACTCTCCACTAATAAATACTCTCCTCTGTCTCCTCTCACTGTGTACCACTTATTTATGTATAATCATATATACATAACAAGATTTATGCAAATACCCATTGAAGAAACCCAAACAAAATCAGGTCTAATTTTTATGCACAGATCATCATCTTAGGATTAGGCTTATCACCTCATTTGCATAAATCTCACTATGCCCATTTTCAGCGATACGGGCTTTCCATATTGAATAAACTCTATGCCTCTCACGAATGCGTTAAAATATGTAAATGAGGTGACTGACACAAATAACTTGACTAATTATAGTTCCTGTTCACTCGCTCATTTTCATGCCATGCAATAATTTTGCCATCTTTCTTGACGCGTATTTAGCAGCAGCAGCCTCGTTCGCTGAGCTCTGTCTGGCGGTGAACAAAGCAACGATTGAGAGGCAGCTGCAACACACGAAATAGTGATCGAAACGTTTCTTGTTTTTCTTGCCCTTCACTGTTGCCTTAAGCAATAGTTGTTCAGTTCGTTTCGAGTCTTTCTCAAGTCAGCAGTAAAACCTTATGTCAAAACCTATTTGAAAGACAAAAAGGTGGCCAATTTTTTTTGCAAGTGCTTCAAGAAAGATGGCTCAAACACAAGGAGTGCATTACAAGTCGGTAAACTGGGTAAGTAAAAAAAAACTAGTGAAACTATTTTGACCATGTATTGAAGACTTTTAAAGTGCAAGAATTTGAAAATTTTTATGAACCTTGTAAATTTTATGAAATGATTTTGCACAAAGATTTACGCATTTGTCTTGCTAATTCTATGGGAACTTTAGAATTGGTTTCATTAAGTATGTAACGTTCCCATAATTGAGAATTAGAGAGAAATAAGAAATTAAATTTCTATCCTTTTCAGGGCAAGGACCGACCTGCCGCGGGACAATATCGTTCAGAAGATCTCAAGTTGGCGTTTGAGACAACGGGCCGGGAAATCGACCGTTATTTTACCTTGAGGAGACCCAACACGAACGGAGACTTTTGCTGGACCGAGGTCTCCTTCCATAAGGACATCGTGTACGGAGAGTCCAAAATTTTGGACGACTTTATCGACTCGTGGAACGGAAACTTGTTCGAGCGTCCGGAATTGGACAATCTGAATGAACTTCATTTTCGCAGGATGCTCGGGGTAAGAAAACGTGTTTTTTTTTAATTTGATAATTTTTTGAAGAAATAATGGTTTTAGTTTAAAAAAAATGTTCGAAAATTTTTCTCAAAATGTATGAAAAATTATGTATCGAAAATCGTTAACAAAGTCTACATGAATTTTTTAAGCTTTAATTAAGATTTGATAGATATTTAATACGTATCTAATTTTTGGATTTTTTGACAAATTTTGATTGATTTCTAAATTGGTATGAAATTTGTTTAGTCTAATTTTCTAAGATTTTGTTATTTTTAACCTGTTCTTTAAAAAAATTCTCTTCAACAAGATAAAATTTTAAGTGTGTAGGAGTATTTACATGAAATTGTTAATGTATGTAATAATTGGTAACTTTATTTTCGCTCGGAAACCTTCCACGCAAAAATATGGCGTGAAATTGTCTCCAATTAATTACAACTTTAAGGTGATTAAATCCTGCATTATTAATTTGATCAGGTTTTCTACTGCTACGATATGAACTACATCGAGGACGAGCAGGAGCTCGAAGAACTTCACAGAATTGCGAATCTTTTCAAGGCGCAGTCCGTGGAAGAATTTTGTTGCGAAAAATTGGCCAAATTTGCTCCCAGAGCGTCATCTTCGTCTGAGGGGTCCGCCAGTGACTGGGTCGTCTTGGTAAATGCTGAGGTCGACGAGGAGACTTCACCAGCGTCGACAACTCCGGATCCGCCAAAGTTTCCAGATCAAATTGTGGAAGTTTCTGCAAAGGACACGTGGCCCGGAAATGATGGAGTGCCCCAAACTCCTGGAAAATCTGAATTTTCGGTATGATTATGAATTTCAGTTGCAAATTTGTGTCCTTTCTTTAGGGATGACGGTTAACTTTCGCATTTTAATTTGCTGTTCGCTGAGCATAAATTTTCTAATCTCTTGAACCTTTCCCTTTTTTTAAGTGGGAAACATTCATAAATCTGTGCTATGCTTGCTTTAGTAACATTTTTTAACTTTTTCACCCACAGACCAAGAAAACTACTATGTCGTCCATCAAAGCGGAAATCCTGTCCGACGTGATCGCCTCGCTTAAACCCGAACTCACCCAAGAACTCGCCGCCGGCATGAAGGACGAAATCAAGGAAACGATTTTGAAAGACTTGCGGTCCGAAATTGAAGACCATCTTCGTTCCGATGACGATCTGAAGGATCAACTCGTCTCCGAAATCAAGGACATTTTACGCGAAGAGATAAAACAGGAGCTGATGAACGATGCTGATTTGAAAGCCGAACTTTTGGCCGATATTCACAAGAAAATCGTTAAAGATCACGACTTGACGAAGGATCTGGTTGACGAATTGAAGCAAGAATTCATCCCCAAGTTGAAAGATGACGTTAAGAGTGAGATTTTCGACGAGTTGAAGGAAAAGTTGAAAACCATGCTGCTGGATGACGACGCCATGCGGGATGAACTCGTGGAGGAAATTCGGTCCGATATTTTGGACGATGCTGAACTCAAGAAGGAATTGCGTCAGTCTTTGATGGATTCGATTCGAAATGATTTTTTGTAAATTTTTGATTACTTGATAATTTTTGTGGGAATTTATGTATTTGATTTGGCAAACATGGGATTTCAATTTAGTCGTAATTTATTCAGTATTTATATTCTTTCTTAAGTTTTGGACTTTCCTTCATAACAAAGTATTTGTTTTTGTTTCTTGATATGATCAATTCATAATTTAAATATCAAGGTGTCTTTATTGGTGCTAAATTGTAATACAAAAAATTTTGTTGATTGGAATTTTTTCTAATATCTATTTGGAGGAGTTGTGTTAAGCTCTACATATAAAACTCAGATTGTCAAATCTTGTCGTGAAATAAGGTGTGAAAATAGTAAAATTGTGTGTAAAAGAATATATTACAATAATTCATGTCAAAGTCACGAATGTGTACACATTCATATTGCATACTTTATGGATACATAACTTGAATCTGTCCTTTTGTTATGAAATGACCCACAGGTCAAAGTGTTGCTATAAATATGCTCGCAGCTTGAAGAAATTAGGGGCCTTTCATGAATTAAGTATGTATGCAAAGTGTGAGAGGAGTGAGAGTGGGGGATCTAACTGATATCGTGCCTACATACATGTTGAGGGGAAGGATGGAGGGGGTCTAGTAAATCGCGATTTTTATGTTACGTAATTTATGAAAGGCCCCTTAGCGTGAATCGAATGCGTTAAGAATATAAAGTACGAATTTATCAAAAAACGAAAATCTCAATTTTCTCAATTCGAGACATTTCATCCCACAAATTTTACATAAGTTCATTCCGAATCGAATCCATCAAAGAGATTTCTAGGAGTGTAATCATCCAATCTAAAATCTTCATTCCCAGAATTTGTTGCCCTTTATTGTATTTAGCATTTTTGAGTCTACTTAAACCGCGAAATTCAAGTCCTTTAAGAGTTACATATCGTCGTTGAAGCTGCGAAAGGAGCTAAATCCATTTTGTGTTAAATGCCAAAGGAGCCTTCTCTACCTAACTTAACATTGAGAAGGCTCCTTTGGCATTTAACACAAAATGGATTTAGCTCCATTGGCAGCTTCAACGACGATATGTATGTACATACATACAGATATGTAGAGTGTGTCCTAAAAGTTTCTCCCGATGGATTTTCCGATTGTTTTATGTTGCTAGCTTTAACATCCGTAAGTTTTGTTGTGAAATTTTTTTTGCAATAACATACCAAAGGTAAGGTATTCGCTCAACCACAAGGAATTGAGTATCCTCTTAATATCAAGTGCAGGGTATGGGTTTATTTGAAAATGTGATAGTCTGGAAGAAGATAGGGTTGCGGAGCAACAAAAAATATTTTAAATCAAAACGCAGTTCGGATAGTTCGAGGACACTGTCCCCATCAAAAAAATACTCAATCAATTACCAAATTCGATGGAAATTGGCTAGTTCTGCTACAAAAGCTAGAGGAGGCTAAATCTTGCACTACGGCACTTTTGGAATAATTGAGATACTTTGATCATTACTTTTGGGACTAACTAAGCATGACAAAGCATACAGGGTTCAGTTTAAAACGCTTTTGGACCCACGAGACATCGGCTAAAATTCGCCAAACTGGTTAAAAGCATAGATTTTCGACTATTTTGACCCCTGCGGAAGGCGAAGATAAGCGTATATTCACAGATAACAGATAATTTTAATAGTATTGATAATTTAATCCACAACATTTGAGATGTAGGAAAACAAATTTGAAGGATCTCAGATCCTTGACTAGGCCGAAACACGACTTCGAAATCCCGGTCCCAGGTTGGTTTCGTAAGGACCGCATATTTTGCACCACAGTTTTGCGGCATGAATGGTAGAAATGGTGAACAAGGCCGTATTACACACATCATATTACAGTACTTTCGAAGAATATACCAGTTTGGACAATTCCATCTCCCTGCATTTGTCAGGTAACAAAATTCATCAGTGGTTAACAGGGAGAAACTTTTAGAACACACTGTACATCCTCTTACTTCGACGTGTCACCGCATTTGCATAAATCTCATTATGCCCATTTTCGGTGATACGGGTTTCCCGTGCTGAATAAAATCTATATAGACTATATACCTCTCGCGAATGCGGAAAATATGCAAATGAAGTAACTAGCACAAATGAATCGAGTATGGGAGCGTCCATATATTACGTAATCATTTAGTGGCCTAATGGATGGGTGGTTTAGGTCGTAGTATCTTTCCCATGTTAAAATTCCCTATCCATTATTGTGTAATGTACACGTTGGGTGGGTGGGTGTATGATAAAATCGAGAATTCTTGATGACGTAATATATGGATGACCCCTGAACATATGCAGTTCCTTTTCAGTCTCTGATTTTCATGCAATAATTGTTTTCTTGACGCGTAGCCGTTCTCTGTTTGCTGAGCTCTGGCGGTGAACATTGAGACGCAGCTGCAAAGGGAGCGTCCATAAAGCATGTGATCGATCTTAGGGGAGAGGGGTCTGTAATTTGTCACCTTTTATCACACCGGGGAGGGCGAGGGAAACTGGTCAGAAGGCACGTGACATACCACGTAGTTTTTTAAAATTTAGAACGCCATTCAATATCAATAGAGTTATGCACAATAAACAGAGTCCGGTTATGCAGTCAAACACATTCAATTTGAAGCAATTTAAAATAAGTTTAAAAAACGTTTTATACACATACATACATATTTGGGCAATTTGATTAAGCATTTTACATAAATATTTTGGGGTTTTTAACAACATATTTAGCCGGACTCTGATAATAAACTCTCTTGGCATATGCATACCTGCATTTTCTTACCCATCCTCCAACTATGTTGGGAGAACACTTGCCGGCGGCGGAAGAACACTTGGCGGCGCAAAGCGCCGCCAAATTTTTTTGTAATTTTATTATTTTATTTTTAAATTGAGGAAAAGTTTAAAAAATATAGAAAAGTACGGTTTAACTTAAACAAACTGACGATAACAACAAATGGCTTCAGTCCGATTAAGTCGCATAAACAACGGAAGAACTTGGTGTTACATGGCACGAAAAGAACACTTGAGTCAAAGAAAAATAGGAAGAACACGACACCCAGGTCGTAGAAATACGCAGGTACAAAAGAACACTTACGTCTAACAAATACATAAGAACAAAATGCAGGTCGTAAAAGCTGATAGGAGAACAGAACACTCAGGTCTTAGAAAGACAAAAGCAGAACAGAACACTCAGGTCTTAGAAACAAACAAGCAGAACAGAACACTCAGGTCTTAGAAAGACACTAGCAGAACAGAAAACTAAGGTCCTAGAAAGACACAAGCAGAACAGAACACTCAGGCCTTAGAAAGGCACAAGCAGAACAGAACACTCGGATCTTAGAAAGACACAAGCAGAACAGAACACTCAGGTCTTAGAAAGACACAAGCAGAACAGAACACTCAGGTCTTAGAAAGACACAAGCAGAACAGAACACTCGGATCTTAGAAAGACACAAGCAGAACAGAACACTCAGGTCTTAGAAAGACACAAGCAGAACAGAACACTCAGGTCTTAGAAAGACACAAGCAGAACAGAACACTCAGGTCTTAGAAAGAAACAAGCAGAACAAAACACTCAGGTCTTAGAAAGAAACAAGCAGAACAGAACACTCAGGTCTTAGAAAGAAACAAGCAGAACAGAACACTCAGGTCTTAGAAAGAAACAAACAGAACAGAACACTCAGATCTTAGAAAGAAACAAGCAGAACAGAACACTCAAGTTGCAGAAAAGAACACTAAGAGAAGAATATTTAAATCGCTTAAAGTCACAAAAAGAAACGAATATTCAGATCTTAGAAACGCTAAGGACTAACAGGAGAATTAGGTCTTAGAAACAAATGAGGAGCAGAACACTTGAAAATGGGGCAGGAATAACAGAATACTTAATCCAGATTTTGAGGAACTTCATTTAATTGTATTGGAAAGCGAGGCAGATATCTTATGGCGTCATAAATCATGAGGACCAATTGTTTACTCACAGGAAATATGGCCATCGAATCATCAGAAAATCGTACAACGACTATTGTTGTTATGGATTTGTACCCAACGGATATGTGTCGGATTGAGCGAACTCAGAAACATGGTAATTTCATTAATGAAGTTATCTCTGAAAATTGAATAGTCTATATACAAATTCCACTATCACCGAAATCATTCTAACCCTGGAAGGATTCTAATAAAATAGTGGGACAAAAATTCTTCAAGTTTTAGCTGCATATGGATATACGCAGCGAAGCTCACTGAAGCTTTAAGTAATATAAGCACACTTCAATCACAAGATGTCGAATTGAAGAACTGTCGAGGTCGGGGCGATCATTATATTACAAACATGGCACGCGAATAGGCAGTGTCATAATGCGTATTAGATATAGAATATTTTACATGGATTGATATTTAATGATTGATATTTAAAGTTCGGACTGCAGGCACGTATTTTGGATCTTTTCAGCGAGAAAAAGTTTCTACCTGAGCTGCATAGCCTTGGCGTGAATTCCACCGATTAAGTGCCACTAAATAATCTACGGGTGACCAGAGCATTAATTTTTTTCTTGCCGAGTAAATGACAAAGAAAACTATTTAATCCAAACCAAAATTTTAAGAAATTATCAAACTAGCACACGATAATCATTTAATGAAGTGACCAATGTTGGGAAATAATTAAGGCTTGAACCGATATTATATCAACAGAAACTTTCACGTACGATGTTATTGTGAATGCCCATAGTCGGTTCAGATAAGTATCGACTGGGAATGACAATTTTTGAGTCAAATCCTGTGTCCAATAAAGGAGGCAACCTGATTTGAATCACTATTTTTTGCACGATAGTTTAAAGTGTGGTAAAAAAATGTTAGATTTTAAAATGCAATTAGCTTAGAAGGTCAAGCGGTTGAGGAACCTAAATCTGGTGGAGGAAATAGGTGTCCCAAGCTCATGATCTTATGTATGCTTGAAATGTTCAATGCGAAGTAAGCATTTAAGAAGCAATTTGTTGAATTAATTTTAAAGCTGACTAAAACAGATTCGCGGCAATTAAAACCCATAGAACGCTGGAAAATCTGTTTGAGGACTTTCGAGGTAGATTTTGAAACTTTAGCTTAGGCCACGTTGTTAACCTAGGAAGTTGATAAACATCACAATTTCCTAAATGTGTTCGAGTCTTGTTATCATGCAAAAAACTTTGGTTTCAATCCCTTCATACTTTCCATTGCTTCCTACTTTTTCCAAGGCATTATTGGTCCACCCTCATATGGTCAAGTAGCTAGGTCTTCTCACCAGATTTAAGGAGACTTAAGGAGATTTAAGGGATTTAAGGAGATTTAAGGGTTCCATTCATGTCAGCGGCTTGATGAGGAGGCTTCATATGGGGTGCGGAGTAAC